CAAGGAAAACCAAAAACTTTTTTTATTTGTTTGAAAAAAAAAAAAAAAAAAAAAAAAAAAAAACCTACAAAAACTAGCAAACAAAAAGATATATAATTCAGCAACTGTACTATGTAAAATGTAGTATGCTAGGTTGATTATTAAGACACAATTCTTATATTCAAGGTGCTCAGAGTCCATAAAAAGGGGGACATATGCATATAACTGTAACTCAAAAGAGTGCCAAAAGAGAAGTGGAAGGCATATAAAGGAATAGAATGCAATATAAACTAAGGAGCTGAAGAAAACTCTTTAGGAAAAATAGTAAAATCTTGGAAGAATGAGTATAACATGCATAGGCTGATGAAAAAGATAAGGAAAAGAAAATGAACACAAGTGTCAGGAAGAGTATGCCCAAAGATATAATGGACATGCAAAACGTATCTTTTGGTTTCAGCACAGAAAACAAGATGGTGAGATAAAGCAAAGCTGTAGTGGCATGTTGGAACCATACTGTACCTAAGTGAGAGGACAATTCTTATTTGGGTAAACAGGGTGTCACTGAAGACTTCTAAACAAAATGTTGGCATAATTAGATCAGAAGGTTGAAGCACCTATAAAAAATGACATCCCAGCCATCAAACTTAACCATTTTCTGAATCTAACATGCTCCCATTCACTGATGATTCTAGCAAGTGATTTACTGTCTTCCTTCCTACCCTACTTCTAATGACTCTACCAGCATGGTTGATCCACCCAGTAGTTTGGATTCCTGATCCTTGACTGCCTCACTTCTAATAATCTGTTCTTCCACCCCATTTCACCAACTCAAATGTGATACTCATACTCTTGATCGTCATTTACAATCATTTACCACTCTAAAATATCTACTTCATTTTTTCTCCCCTATTTTCTAAACATAATCTGTGCTTTGGGCCCCTCTAGTATTCTCATTCTGGCAATGTCTATTCCACTGACTCTACCATTTTTCCACTATTTCTCCTTTTCTTCATGTTTTATCTCTAGTGGAACAACTTATAGCCCATAGTCCAGCACTGCAATTCCTCACTTGCAAATACCCTTGACTCCCTTTAATTATCTCTTTTCTTAATACTTATGGGGACAACCTCAAATAAATGATGATCATCTTGACCTTGATTCAGAATAACAGAATATTAGGTAAAAAAATTACACACAACCATATTGACTTTTTACTGCGAATTCATGACCATAAAATTCAGACCAAGACTCCAGACTGCTTAACAATCTTATTACTATACCCTAATATGTTCGCTTTTCTAATTTCAAAAGAATTATTTCATTCCTTCTCATTTCTCATCAAACCTGCTACTACATCTACAACTTTTTATTCTTTTCAGACAAGCTATATCTTAGAATTCATAGAGAAAACAGAAACAATTGTACAGGAACTCCCTTAACTTACCATTAAGAAGCTAACTAACCTAGAGAATATAGTCAATATTATAATAACTATATACAGTGCCAGGGGAGTACTAGACAAATTGGGGGAACCACCTCATAAAGTATATAAATGTCTAACTACTATGTTGTATACCTGAAATTAACATGATATTAAATTATAATTTTAAATTTTTTAAAAGAAATTAGCTATTGACATCTACTTTTTTGTCAGCTTTTGTCTATTTTATTTACTAAAATTGAAAACATTTTCAATTTTAATTTATTTGTTCTATTTCACTGCTTTGCTTTTCTATGGAAAGTCCTATGACTTTTATCGAATTTTTGCTCAATTTTCACAACTGCATTTTTTTTTTTTTTACCATTTTCTTCATTTCAATTTTTAAGTTTCTCTTCACCCGCTATTTCTCAAGGCATTATCTGTTGTGTTTGTCTTTTAGTCTTCACTTACAAAATAATTTATGAAGTAATTTTTCTGTCAATTTTAATTATTTTCTGATGAATGTTACCCATTTGAGTTATATTTATAACATACTTATTAATTCATCTCATTATTTTAACTGTTTATTTCTACTTAAATACTAGGTTACAGCTGTCACATATTTTGTGAACACATCTCTGGCATGCTTTCAGTGTTTACAAGTATATTAGCTTTTTTGCCTATAATTACTTTGTATGGGATTTGACTGATCTTTTTCCGTTGCTAATGACAGCTACTATGTTGATGAGATCTAGGAACTTTTGTTTATATCAATTTGCCTATGGTAAAATTGGTTTTGCTCTAAGTTGTTTTGCTTAAAGTCCCAGCAATCTATTGCCAATATTAAGTGAAGACTTACTGTATTACATAAAATAATTTCCCCTTAATTTTTGGAAGTGAATGCTGAATCATAACAGTCTTTCTAGCTTCACAGCTCTAGAGATCTTCCGTTGTTTTTGTGAAGGTCTTAATATGGCCTTTCCAGACCTTACTCTTCGATATGGAGTTTTGTCTAGAAAACAAGCTTCAGGTACTAGTTTTTCAGAAACCAAGATGCTCTAGCCTCTTCAGATGTGACTTCAAAGTGGCCCTCCCCCACTGCAGCCACTATTTTCAAATTGGATTGTCACTCTTT